TCCTTCCCTTCCTTCCTTCCTTTCTTCCCTTCCTTCCTTCCCTTCCCTTCTTTCTTTCCTTCCTTCCCTTCCTTCCCTTCTTTCCTTCCTTCCTTTCCTTCCCTTCTTTCCTTCCTTCCTTTCCTTCCCTTCCTTCCTTCCCTTCCTTCCCTTCTTTCCTTCCCTTCTTTCTTTCCTTCCTTCCCTTCCTTCCCTTCCTTCCTTCTTTCCCTTCCTTCCCTTTCCTTCCTTCCTTCCTTTCCTTCCCTTCTTTCCTTCCTTCCCTTCCTTCCCTTCCCTTCTTTCTTTCCTTCCTTTTCTTCCCTTCTTTCTTCCCTTCCTTCCTTCCTTCCTTCCTTCCCTTCCTTCCCTTCTTTCTTCCCTTCCTTCCTTTCCTTCCCTTCTTTCCTTCCTTCCCTTCCTTCCTTCCTTCCTTCTTTCCCTTCCTTTCCTTCCCTTCCTTCCTTCCCTTCCCTTCTTTCCTTCCCTTCCCTTCCCTTCTTTCTTTCCTTCCTTTCCTTCCCTTCTTTCCTTCCTTCCTTCCCTTCCCTTCTTTCTTTCCTTCCCTTCTTTCCTTCCTTCCTTTCTTTCCCTTCCTTCCCTTCTTCCCTTCCTTCCCCCTCTGTGTGCAGAGATAGGAATCTGGTGTGTGAAAAGTGCGCCATAAATGGGAAGCATAATAGGTTAAGAAAAGAGGAAGGGATACAATAAACACCCCATTAATTACAGGCATATCCCACCCCCAAATTATATTAATTATGCACAGGAGTGGAACATTTGGGGAATCTGGAAGATTATTTCACAATAGGTAGTCCTCGAATTACAACCGTCCTGGAACCCAACCATCGCGGTCGTAAGTCAAGACGGTCATAAAAAGCAGCTCGACCCATGGGAGCAACCTGATTTTGACCTTTTTTGGTTTTTTTGCAATAGTTGTTCAGCCACCACTGTGATTCGTTCAGATAACAGATAATCAGAGCCGGAAGGGACCTTGTAGGTCATCTAGTCCAACCCCCTGCCCAAGCAGGAGACCCTGCACCATTTCTGACAGATGGGAGTCCGATCAGCCAATAGTTGTCTCCGGGCAGGCTTTGACCCCAAAAACTAGAAGGACACGCCGGTTTTTGGTCATTAAACGAGTCAGATGACTGGAGGGGGGGGCTAATGGCTATAAAATGGCTATAAATGGCTATAAAAACAGGCTGGGTTCTAAGAACTGGACTTGTAGACACAGGATACGTCAAAACCTCGGAACCGGGTTGTAAGAACGCCCCTATCCTCCCCCGCTTCACATCCCCCCAGAGGTCCGTTGTAATTCTGGACAGTCTCTAAGTGTACGGTCGTAAAACGAGGACTAGCTGAATCCCTTAAATTCTCATGGATTTATTCCCCCCCCCGCCCAATGTGGAGTACAGCTACTCCTCGAGTTACAACGGGTCATTCAACGACTGTTCAACGTGACCTCTCTTGAAAAAGTGACCACTTTTCACACTTACGACCGTGGATTCAGACGCTTGGCCACTGGGGCGTGTACTTACAACAATCCGTGGTATCCTGGGGTTACATGAAAAAAAATTTGTGGCTCAATTCTGGCCATAAGCCGAGGACTCTACCTGTAACTTTTGTGTTTGTGTATGTGTGGGGTGTCTGGTTTACAGATTAACCGAGTTGGAAAGGATCTTGTAGGTCATCTAGTCTGACCCCCACTTTAATAGTCAGTCCTACCTCTGAATTCTTGCTTAAGTGG